ACTATATAGGGTCGCTGACAACCTAGAAAACCTGATGGCTTACACTACGAAATAAACAATTACCAAAGGCATTTCATCTCATTATCTATTGCTTTTAATGCGCTCGGCACACGAGTAGCGTGACGTTTGAAACAAGCATAACACATCAGAAACGTGCCTTGTGAAACTGATACAATTTATCTATTTATTGTGATGCTACACGCTTTTATCTTCATCCGTTCCGTATTTTATCCGCATATACGTTCCGTGGATCCGCTCCATCCGCTTCCGCATTTTAACTTAATTGTGACATGTTTCACAAGAACAAGTCCCACTGACCTCAAGTTTGCTTTTCCCAGTGTCACGTTGTTTCTATTTTCAGCTTCTCGTATGTGTTGAATAATGTCACTTTAGATTTCAATAGTTTCACAGTTATAGCGGTGTTTAAAGCAGTTTTGACAAGCTTTGATACAGTTTTGTGTACAGAATACTACAGATTGATTCTGTTGGGTGGGTTTTACAAATGGGAATAGTATTATTTCCCATCTTCAAAACCATTAATGGTTTTGTAAAAAAAAAATTCTGTGCATTAAGTTGGATTGTGCCCTTTCAAATTTATTGTAATTTGACCCTTCAATGGGGAGAATCACCAAAAGTTGAAAGTGATTATAATTATTATAATTACTTACATAGTTATTTGCCCACCATGACTTCAAGACTAAATATCGCTGAAGTTTTTTCCCAATTCCATTCTAAAGTAAGGATAGAAAAAGAAATTAACACTACATGTATCTTTTATCTAACAAAATCTTTTACCTAACAAATTTCCAGCTGCGGTTAAACATGACCAAGTAAACATGACCACCATAACCCTTCTATACCCAGGGGCGTAGCAAAGACATGCAATGTGCTTGGCCTCACCTTTGCCAACAAAGTGGGCAGAGCCGCCGAGAGGGGGGGCAGGGGGGCAAATTGCCCCGGGCCCCGAGGTGCTGGGGGCCCCTGAAAATTTTTTGTTGGGCCCCAGTCTTCAGTTCTGTGTTAAATATTTCCGCGCAAAGGACAACATATCTGTTTTATTGGGCTAAGTACCGAAATTATGCATAAAAAATTAGATAAAGTCTCTGGAAAGTGCGTGCAATCTACTCGTCCGGAAAAATTTTTGACCCCTAAAATGGTACACTGACCGAAATTTTTTTGGCGACGGGGGGGGATGTTGTTCGGAAAAAAAATTTTCCGGAAATTTTTTTTTCAAAAAGGGGGCCCCCAAAAAAATTTTTGCCCCGGGCCCCCGCCAACCTCTCTGCGGCACTGAAAGTGGGCATGGCAGTGGTGTGACATGGACATGGTTTACACAGCCAGAAACGCCACAGATTTGCTGCAAGTTGCGGATTTTACCGGCCTGCTGCAAATTGTCAACAAGTTGCAGCAGGCTTGTTGACGTCATCAACTTGCAGCAAGCCTGTTGAAATCAGGCTTGCTGCAAGTTGACATTTGCAGACTTGATGCAAGTTGATGAAACAAGTTGCATCAAGTCTGTGGATATC